GTGGGACAAAGTTCAAACTGCTGAGCCTGGAGGTCAATACCGGATGCTATCCGCCTTTCCATCTTATCTTCCCTTCTTTCCAGCTGTGGAGCCTTCCCTGCAGCTCACAGGGCTCTCTCCAAGGCCACCTCCATAAGGCTCAACCCGCTGGACCTCTCTACTGGTTCTCTCTCACAGGACTGGCCTCATCTTCCACGATGCCCCTCCTCCCTAGCTCTCACAGGTCCCTCCAATCCCTCTGGCTGTTCTTTTCCAGGCCCCTTTTTCTCTGTCCCCCCTCTAACAAGAATATTCTCTGAGGTTCTTCCAATCTGAGACCCCCCCTTCCCTTGCTCCCGCACACATTCCCTGGGGAATTGTCATCCACTCCCTCCTGTGACCTCAAATTCCCGTGGACTTACTGATGACATTCTACTCTCTCTCTTCTGCCCAGACCCCCCACCAAGCCTGAGACCCCTGAACAGCTCACCCCAGACACCTCACACCCATTGGGATGAAAGTCAGTCCTCCCCTCCCCCAAACCTCTCCCTCTCTGCTTCGGGGTCAGAAGCTGGGGCTCCTCCCTGACTCCCCTCTACCCTGTCCAGTCAGACCCCCATCCTCCCCACTGCTCTTTCGACCACCAGCCCTGCCTCTCGCTCTGCTGTCTGCCCTTCAGGCAGAGAGAGGGCTCCAGATCAAAAACGGGGTGCTTTCAGTCCCTTGCCTAAAACCCTTCACTGAAGCCAACCACCTATAGCAGCAGGCAGGGGGTTGTTTTCAAATGTTGATTCCTGGGCCCCAGACACAGTTTGATTAGGTGGGAACTAGGCCCAGAAATGTGTATCTTCACAAGTCCCCCAGGGGCCTCATGGAGGGAAGGGGGTGGACAGCACCAAGAGAAACTGCATGAGTCCAAGCTGGTCAGTGGCTTCCCAGCCACAAGGATCTCGGCCCACCTACCTCCTCCAGCCTCTGCTCTCACCCCTCCACCCTCACTGCACACGACCACCTTCCTGAACTCAACGGTCCCCAAACCCGCATTCTCTTTCCTCTGGGTCTTTGTCACACGGTTCTCTGTGCCTGGGGCCCTCTGGCCTCTTACCCATTCCCCTGCCCCACCGGGCTGGTCCTTCTGTCCTTGAGAGAGCAATCTGGACGTCACCTCCTCCAGGCTGGGTTAGGTACCCCTCCTGTACACGCCCCCCCCCACCCCACATCAGAGCCCTAGAATACCGCATAAACCCTCTTCCCACCACTCCACAACCTCCCACAGTAGACTGTCAGGTCTTGAGCATGGGGACCACGTCTGTCCTGCTCACACCCATGTTCCCAGTGCCAAGCTGTGCCTGGATCACGTCAGTGTCCAGTGGTTGATTACTGAATGGCCCAGCACGGAGCTTAAGAGCGGGCTCTGCCATCGGAGTGCCCACGCTCAGAACCCAGGCCTTCCCTGCTCAGAGGTGGGGCCTTGGGCAGCCTCGCTCAGTTCTCATCTGTGAAGCAACAGTCATGCCACCTGCTTCGCAACTTGTCTTGGGGATGCGATGAGATGCTGTACAGACAGTGCCTGACTCGGCTAAGTGCCACTGTCCCAAATGTGCTGCGCGTGTGCCTGCCGCGGGAGCATAGCCAGTCGCTTGGAGCTCCCGGTGGGCCAGGACCAGCTTGTAACTGGCCTCGGGGGCCCATCCTCCAGCACCTCCCCCAGGGAAAGTATGTGCAGGCCAGAGCCTTTGTTCACACTGGGGACATTGAGAATCCTGCCTGGGAGGCCTACCCTCCTCCCTCTCCAAATTTCATGCTCAGCTCACACAGTGCCCCTTACACAGAGCCCTCCAGGACCTCCCCAGCCCCTGGGAGATCCCTGGTCTCCCTGCCAGCGCCCGTGCGGGAGGCCCTCTCCAGAGCCTGAGACCTCCTTCAACTCACTTCTCCAGGAAGCACTTTCTGACTGATCCCACCCAAATGGGCTCACGCTGGTCACTTCATCGTAATTAGCTCTTTCCCCTGTGCTGCTTGGAAGCCGTGCTTAGGTCACTTTTTGGCAGGGTGACCAACTCATCCTGGCCTCCCCAAGACCCTCCCAGTTTTAACACTGAAAGCCTCACATCCTGGGCAAACTGAGCAGGTTGATCACCCTGCTTTTTAAGTATTAATATCTGCATGTGTGTGTGTGTGTGTGTAATTAACATATTCATCCTTTCTCCTCTCTCCACAGCAAGGTCATCGTCCTATGTCTCAGTCAGCCTAGGTCTCCCGCACCCCTCCCCCACCCCACCCCACCGCCACTAACTCACACCAACCCATGATTCTCCCTCCCTCCTCCCTCCTCCCTCCCGCCAAGGTCTGCCGAGGTTTCAAGGGTGGCCAGCAACCTTGGGGCCCTGCCCACCAAGGCTAATACTATAAACCTTGAGACCCCGGCCATGGGGCGGGGGGAAGGTGTGGAATGGAGGGTGGAGAGCATGCCGGAAGACCAGCATGGCATGGGGAGGGCTGGAGCTATTGGCGAGGAGCGCGCAGTGAGGGGGCCTAATGTTACAGAAATCCCTGAGAAGAGGGGGTGGCCTCAAGACGCAGGATGTTCGGGACAGAGTGGAGACAGAGGAGAAAGAAGGGAAGATGAGGGGCACAACAAAGTCATCATGCAGGTCTGCATAAGCTCCCTGGAGTACTTGGCCAAGAAGGCATAGCCGACCATCTGCCACAGACCCCTGACCATCACCCATGAGGCAAACACACTTCTCTTCTAGCTGAGGACCTAGAGTGGGGAGCCCCAGGTGACAAAGCATGCAGGAAATGTCCCGTCTAGATGGGCTGGGAGCCCCTTCCCCTTCAGGGACCCAGGAGTGCTTTTAAAACCCAAAGGAGTGGAGCTTGCCCTTAGGATTGGAGCAGCAGGTGAATCATGGGAAAAGGAACCAGGAGGAAGCGGCTTACCTTTAGCAGGTGTTGGGCGGTGTAAAAGCCAGCTGGGCCACTGCCCACCACACAGATCTGGGGGGTCTGCTCCTGTGTGGAGAACTGCTGGCGGAAGCCTAGGGCAGGGGGGACCGGGGAGGAAGGTCAGTTCAAGACTCCCTCCCGGGACTTCCCTGGTGGTACAGTGGTTAAGAATCCGCCTGCCAATGCAGGGGACGCGGGTTCGAGCCCTGGTCTGGGAAGATCCCACATGCTGCAGAGCAACTAAGCCTGTGCGCCACAACTACTGAGCCTGCGCTCTACAGCCCGTG